CTGTATTATGTATATTAATTTAGTTGTGTAAACAGTTGATGTGGATGACAAACAATGCAACAAGCTTGACCTTTATTGTTCTTGTTGTATTTCTGGTATTTTTGTCACCATATGTTTACGTTTTGTTTTGATACAACATATATTTAACAGGTTCAAATGAAAAGCTACATGTTCACTTGAATGTCAACAGGAAAAGCCAATACTTAACATGCACATTTGACAAGTTAACATATTCAGTTGCATGTTATTATGGTATAAAGAAAGCTGACATGTAATAGTGAAAGTTAACATATTATGTTGAAAGTTAACATATTCAGTTGATAGTTAGCGTGTAGAGCTGAAATATAACATGTTCAAGTTAACATATGCAGATGAAAGTTAACATATACAGCTCACAGTTAACATGTTCATGTAAAAATCAACATATACACCAGTACATATACACTTGAAAGTTAACATATACATATGAGAGTTAACATGCTCACGTGAAAGTTAACATGTTCAGGTTAAAGTCAATATTTTCAGCTTAAATTTAATATATTCAGCTGAAAGTTAACATCTTCACTTGAAAGTCTAAAGAATTTGAAAGTCAACGTGTATAGTTGAAATATTCAGCTGAAAGTTAACATCTTCACTTGAAAGTCTAAAGAATTTGAAAGTCAACGTGTATAGTTGAAAGCCAACATGTTCATCTCAAAGTAAAGAATTTGAAAGTCAACGTGTATAGTTGAAAGCCAACATGTTCATCTCAAAGTTAACATAGTCAAATAAAAGATAACATGTTTAGCTAAAAGTTATCCAGCTGAAAGTAGTTTTAGCACCAATATATTTTATAGAAAATACAAACAGTATACTTCAGCTAAACAAGTACATTACACAAAACTTCTTATATTTTTACAGCTGATATTGCTTGAGTACACAATAGCATTTTCGTAGCAGCATATTATTATTTTTGTAGCAGCATATTATTATTTTCTTACATCTAAAAGTTAACATGTTTAGCTGAGAGTTATCGTCTTTAAATGAAAGTTAACATGTTCATGTTAAAGTTAATATGTTAGAATGAAAGTTAACATATAGCAGAAAGTTAACATATTCATCTGAGAGTTAACATGTTCAAGTAAAAGTTAACATGCTCATGTTGACATGTTTGGCTGAAAGTTAACATATACATCAGAAGGTTAACATGTTTAGTTAAGAGTTAACATTTTCAAGTGAAAGTTAACATATTCATGTTAAAGCCAACATGTTTGTCTAAAAGTTAACATATACATATAAAAGTTAATATGTACAACTTGTAGTTAATTTTTTTAATCAAAAGTTAATTTGTTCAGCTAAAAGTTAATATCTTCACTTAAAAGTTAGCTAAAGAATCTGAATGTCAACGTGTACAGTTGAAAACCAACATTTTCTTTTGATAGTTAACATAGTCAAATGAAATATTAGCTCAAAGTTATTCAATTGAAAATTTTTATAGTACCAAGATATTTAACAAGAAGCAAAAACAGTATAACTTAGCTAAACAAGTACATTATACAAAACTTCTTACATTCTTACATCTGATATTGCTTGAATATATAATATGAGTCTTACAACTTCACAAATTATAAAAGTCTTTCACAATATACTATAAAATTATGGACGATCTATATTTCTCTAACAAAAGTATTATTGTAAGTAGTAGTCCACCGTAATCACCAATTGGCTCATTGCAAGTTGCACGATTGTGACCCTCAGCTTTGCATCGAGAATATTTTGCTGAAATCACAAAGCTTACGTCACACAAAGCATAGTTTTAAAAATAGTTTATTGATTACTTACATTTCAGTAAGAACTTTCTGATTTTTTCCAGAAGTAGAACCCTCTATATTAACAACAACTTGCATGTGAATCTTCGTACGACCAATATTTCGATTGTGTTCCAACATGCACTTCAAATCATCTTCATTATCAACTGAAAAACTCAGGTTCGGGTGCCTCTCAGATTTATATATCAATGATAAAGTATCTTGAGGTACTTTCAGTCTATCAGACACATCAACTTTCAATTCTAAAAAGCTTGTTGTAGATTTGAGCATCAAGAATATAGCCTTATCGCCTAACGACGCCATGCAAGTCAAGTCTTTTGCGGTCATTGGGGGTTGCTGAAAGTTATGAGAACAATTATGAGGAGTAATTGAGAGGATTTTTAGGACATTAGGGGTTGTAGAAATTTGAAGAATAAAAACTCTAATATCATAAATGAGAGAGTGAGAGATAAAACCATAAAATACATAACCCGTGATGAGTTAGCCTAGTAATGGAGGGAACCTACACTTTTTTCCCTCCATTTTCGCCGTCAAATCGCGTTAATTGCGATGGCAGCGATCACCGGCTCTATGGGTTAAGGGGAAGGTTTTCTGAGTGAGAGATGAGGGCATTTTGGTAGGTTTTGAAAAATACATAGAGTACATGTATAAAAGTGGGCTTTTGGGGCTGCACCATACTTTTTCACCTCTTTTGGGGCTAAAGAGTAAGGAATAAAGTTGCTGGGGCTGGGCCACATCAGCTTCCTGATTTTGGGTCCTTCACACATTTTCCCCTACTCTTTACTTAAAAAAGAAAAAGAAAAAGAAAGACACACCTTTTATGCAAATAGTATTTTCACAACTTGTACTTTTGTGGCTGTTGACGCGCTATCACAACAAAAACAATGAAAGAAAGGAACCGGTTTGCGACTCCATGAAAAGAAAACTAAATATTACCGAAATGTAATACATAAGTATGTAGTAGCAAATAAGCTTGCCCGAGAAATATAGCAATATCCCAAGCTGCTGGAGTTTTATTATTAGGTTACCTAACAATCAATTCTAAAAGGTTGACTTTCTCATTGAGACCGCGCACAAATTCCAGCTGGCTTGGATTAGTATGTTTAAATATAAAACTACATTTCCTTGGTTCATCTACTCGTAGTTACAAGAATTAGATCACTGTGATTATTATACAAATCATATTGCTCGATACATAGATGTCGCAGAGAAGAAAAAACAACTCAAGTTCGGGTCTGATCTTGGTCAGGTAACCGTCATGAGTTCAAATTAGATAGCACGATATTGGTAGAGAGAGATCTCTCCAAGGCCCTTCTGATGCATCAATAGTCCAAAATGATGGCGAGGATTAGGCGTTATATATCTATACTACTTATAAAAGAGAATACCCATGTCAAAACTTTTGATTTCCTTTTTTACCCCCTCAATTTTTTATAACTCAAAATTATACTATTAATTATAAAACTAATGATCCATAACCTCTCATTAACTATGCACCTTTTTATTTTCTCAAATTATTTGGTTATTCACTAGAATATATTAATAATTTATAATGATAAAAAAATTCATGAATATATGATAATTTATTATAAATAATTATTAATTATATAAAATAGTAAAATCCATTCATTTAATAAATTATTGCACATAATTATAACTATTAATAATAGTATAAATATGGGTTATTTATTTATGTTGTAAATAATATTACATTGTTCGATAATTAATATCATCTTAGTAATACAATTTTGGATTTTATAAGTTAAAAATACTTTTATTTTAGAAAATTAATGTATATAAAAAATTTGGATCCTTTAAATTTATGAGACATATATTTTTCTCTTCTTTTCTTCAAAATATTTGGCCACTCGCTAGAATATTCTAATAATTTATAATGATAACAAAATTAATAAATATATTATAATTTAATATAAAATAATTATTAATTGTAATGAAATAGTAAAATTATTTATTTAATAAAATATTGTACATAATTATAATTATTAATAATATTATAAATAGGATTTTTTATATTATAACGATTATTACCCTTTACGATATTATAATATCGTCTTAGACATAAAAATTAAATATGGGACCAATAAAGGGGACAAGTGAGGTGTCCCATTCCTATTGGATAATGACTTGGCCATCATTAATGATGGCTAACTAATTATCCAATAAGAAGGGGACACCTCACTTGTCCCTTTTATTGGTCCCATATTTTGGGTCCCCGTAGCAAAGCTCTTAATTATTAAACAATGTAATATTCTTTATAACATAATGTCATATAATATTAAAAATTATTTCCATTATTTAATAGATATTGTAATAAAATATGTACATGACATAAATATTTAATAATTTAAATGGTTTAATTATATCAATAGTGTTACTTAAACTAATGATTATATTATTATTTAATAATTATACTCCTAAATAATTGTTTAATAGTATAATAAAAAAAATTAAATAACTATTAAATGTATGTTAATAATATTATAAGTACTAATATTAGTATAAGTTAAAAAAATTTAATCATAGTGCAATAAAATAATTTTTAATGGTTATATATAATTTATTAAATAATATAATATTAAATACAACAAAATATCCACGTGCAAAGCACGTGCATTATACTAGTAGTTTTAAATATAGTTACTTATGTTAAAGAAAAATAATACCTAGTGAAAGAATGGTGGCCAAATGGAGCTCTCAAATTAATTAGTGATTATTTTGTTTGTTGAGAAGAAAGGGCAACAAGCAACCTTATAATGTTTATTTGTTTAAAAGAAAAGGACATATGGTCAAAAACCTTCTGATCTCGCAATCTCAGAAACTAAGGTAGGATCTCGTGCTTTGAACTGGGAAACAACCAAGAAAGTTAACAAAATTCATAATTTTGAACAAAGACATTCTCATATCTTTAACACTAAGCTAGAAAATGATAACTAATTGGGAAAATAATTAATACAACTCGAGAATAATACCCACAAATTGTCGCAAACCTAGCTCATTTCTAAGAAGAAAGGGATCGAGGAAAGAAATCAGACAAAAAAGCCACTTGCAATCTCCAACAAAACCAAATTGATTAGCATCGGTCCCTCTCAATACTTGCAACAAAAAGATACGGAGGGAGGGGGAAAAAATAGAACAAACTAGCTGGAAAAAAGAATCACCAAATAATCAAAAACTAGCCCTAAACAGAATACTAACCCAATTAATCAAAGAATTCCAAACCTTAATTCACCTCTCACATAACTTGTGCCCCTCCAATCACATGATCCGTACGAGATGAAGAACTCAAGTAAAGCATCGAGGGAAAATCATCAAAGCCTTGAAAGAAGCCATCCACGTCCCCTAATCCACCCATATAATTATTATTATCGCTGCCACCCAAACTCTCATCAAGCCTCCACTCTGCTCTCTCCTCCTCCTCCTCCTCCTCTTCCCATTCCTTTTTAATCATTTGTCTTGCCTTGTTCTTCAGTGCTCCTCCCTTTGTCGGTATTCCAGTGAGCCTCTGAACGAGCTCCTTGAAACTTGCCGCATCGGTCTTGATGATCTCCGGCTCAATTATGTGAACTATTCGTATCTTTGGGTTCGGCTTCGATATCGAGCGGGAGTCCTCGCTCATGCTCAGTGCGGTTGGCTTTGGAGGACTCATTTCATAGGCTTTGGCGTTCGTGTTGCTCTTCATGAGTATTAGGGTTAGGGTTTGGGGGATGGGAGAATGAGGTTTTAAATAGGAGGGAGGGAGGGTAAAAGTGGGAATTTTCTATTGTTTCTTGTTTTTGAATTCCATTGTTTCGTCATGGTTTATTTTATTTTATTTTATTTGGCTTGATGAGGGAACTTCCCCGTGATCTTTTGGATTGGACGGACACTGGGTATTAAACCCCTAGCGCGGCTAAGGGCGTCCCGCAAAGCGTGGACTCGGGTATTTATCGTTAACACGTTCAAATTTCTTACCTGATTTATTTAAGGGAAAAATGTGTCCAGGCCCCAAAAGCAGAAACTTCATGTGACAAGGCCCCTCATAGTTTTCTCCATGTGGATCAGCCCTTTGAAGTGTGACACTTTGTACCGCAGCCCCTTTTTATCAATTATCACATACCAGCTAAGCTAAAATTCTCAAACTATCATTATCCTCTCTCCTCAATCTCTCTGACCCAGCACTCATATCATCTCTCTCTCATCTCCTCTCTCTCTCTCTCTCTCTCATCTCCTCTCTCTCTCTCTCTCACCTCTCTTTAAAACTAAGAGCTTTCTCAAGCTCGTCGTCCTGGCCGAGACGCACAGAGCATTAATCTATTAGCTAGAAGAAGAAAAGAAAAAAAAAGAAAAAAAGAAAAAAAAGGTAAGGAGAAGTAGAGTAGAAGAGGAATGAAGAGAAATACCGTAATAAAGAAAGAACGAAAATATGTATTAATGTATCTCTATGAATGAAATTGCCATGGTGCCGCCGAGCGATATTCGAAGCAATATAACGAGAGGTAAAAAATGAGCCCAAATGAAAGGAAGATACCGTGTGATAGACAATATAAAGGGCTACACACCGGCGCAGACGGTAGTGAAAACGGAGACCGGAGGTGGCCGTAAAACACACGCGAAGTCGGCACGATGCTGGTGTTTTCTGCTCGCTGCTGCCGTCGAGCGATGTTTCGGATGTTACCGAGAGAGATAATGAATGAGTTAGAGCATGATACAAATTGGAGGTGATAGGCAACATGTAGGGCTACTCACCAAAGAAGAAATCGACGGAAACGGAGATTGGAGGCGATCAGAAAGTGCGTGCAAAGTCGGCACAAAACTATAGTTTTCTGCAGTGCAATTTCTCGCCGTTCAGGTTTGTTCTTCGTTGTTCGGAGATTTTCGCCGCTGTCCGGGCTTACCGGAGGTGGGAGGAGATTGCCGGAGTCGTCGGGGTGTCTCGGTGGGCTTCGTCAGAGGTAGGAGGAGCTTTTCTCCGTTCCCAATAGCTTAGAACTAAGATGAATTAGAGCTAGAACTAGCTAGAACTAACAAGATAGAAGCTAGAACTGGGGGTATACAAGCTAGAACTAGGGGAATAGAAGGTAGAACTAACGTAGAAGAAAGAACTAGCAAGTGTGCATGTAAAAAACCCTTGTTGGGTTTAGAACTAGCAAGATAGAAGCTAGAACTGGGGGAATAGAAGTTAGAACTAGGGGAATAGAAGCTAGAACTAACGTAGAAGAAAGAACTAGCAAGTGTGCATGTAAAAAACTCAAAAAGTTGTAACTCAAGATGACAATTATCTCATTAATGAAGAAAGCTACAGTTTTCCCCGCGAACAATCTGGCGACCACAGTGGGAGCCACCGATCTCGCCGCCGAGATCGATGCGTCGCAGCCGCGGATTCCAATCCTGGTCGAGGAGGAGGTCGAGTATGAGTTCGACCAAGCCAAGTTCGAGGAGTACGTGTCCTCGTCCGGATCGAACTAACGTAGAAGAAAGAACTAGCAAGTGTGCATGTAAAAAACCCTTGCTGGGTTTAGAACTAGCAAGATAGAAGCTAGAACTGAGGGTATACAAGCTAGAACTAGAGGAATAGAAGCTAGAACTAACGTAGAAGAAAGAACTAGCAAGTGTGCATGTAAAAAACCCTTGATGGGTTTAGAACTAGCAAGATAGAAGCTAGAACTGGGGGTATACACACTACAAGAAATCCGATATTTAACGACCAAAATTAGTGAAGGGACCAATTGACCGTCATTAATGTGCATATAATAACGACGGGTTTTAAAACCTTCGTCGAGTGATTACAAATATTAGAGGAATGATGTGAGATAGGATAACGGTTTTCTAGTCCCTTCATTGATTTGATCCTAATACCGTCGTTATTGGGTCTTCTTAAAGACGAAGGGGTCCATTACCTTCATTGATGATACTCCTAATCATAATAAGACTGTTAGTTTAACATATTACTATTAATTAACAAAACCCACAACCAAAATCCCCCAAGCCCCAAGTAGAACCCGAAACCCGAAATCCAAAATCCCCAATAACTACTCCTAATCATCCCTCTAACCGGCGCAATATTAATTAAACCCTAGTTTAAAAAAAATCACCATCGCCGTCCCCATTTCCTTCTTCTTCCTGCCGCCATGGCCCCCATTTTCGAGCTCTACAGCTCCTTTGCCTGTCCTCCTCTGTCGCCGTC